TGTGCTCAGCTAATGGAGTTCCCTTCTGACCTTGGCACCTAAACAGGCACCCTCTTCTCAGCAGGAGCTGATTGTAGTGGTGTAGGAAGGTGGGTCAGGGGGAACCAGATTAATGGACTTTGTGTGTGAAATGAGTCTTCCTTATTCTGAATTCTCTGCTTCCTTCATTTCTGAAACTCGATGGCTCCAGAAACCCTCATTCCTACACCCTAAAGAGATCCCCTATTCCCTCATTTTTCCAACTCAGTTTTGCCCTTCCTCTCATGTTCAACTCACCCTTGAGAAGGGTGTGTGTGTCATGCATGAGAAACAGGGACAAGGGACCCACCTCCTCTCCCCTGGTTTTGAAGGACTTATAATCTTCCAACGGTTTTAGCACCAGCAGTTCTCCCCCTGCCTCATTCTTTCACAAGAGTCATTCACACTTGAGTAAGAATTAGTGTCCTGGGAGAGCTCAAGAGAAGCATGGCTGGTGGGAGCAGAACTGCACTGCAGTGAGACATTAGTGCCAAGAAGGAAAAAGAAACTGAGGGGCTCAGGTCCCTTTAACACTCTTGCTTCCCATTTGTGCAGAGGCTTGGGTTCTGGGTAGCGAACCAGGTCCTGCAGACAGATACTAAAGGCGTTCTTGCCAAGCGCCACCCCACTGACTCAGGGCCTTTCAAGTGGGCTGTTGCCTCATCCCCCCCCAGTTGAAAGACCCTCCCTTCCCCCTCCCTCAACCCCTCCCGCTTCACCTCTGGCCACGCTCATCATCAAGTCACCTTGCTTTCTTTTATTAACAGCAATTCCGCTACTTTGTGTCGTATTATCTGTCTTTCCTTCAAGAGAGGGTAAGCCCCTCGAGATCCTGATTTCACAATTCTTAGCAGCATCCCCCGGTTTTCCAGCTGTCCTTCCCCGCTGGAGGCGAGAAGCCATCACGGATCCATCCCGACTCCGGTCAGGTAGAGAACAGTTGGACAGCTAGCCCCAACACGGACACGCCCACTTCCGGGGCGGGGCCTGTTAGGACGGGGGCGGGGTTAAAGTGGGCGTAGCTTGCGAGTCCAGGGAGCCGGCTGGTGAGCGGAGGTCGAGCTCTCTAAAGTTCAAGGGGTTGGAGAAGTGGGGGGGTCACAGGCCCGGGACGCGGCCGGGAGCCGGACAGGCCTGGCTGGCGGGTCAGCCCGGGCAGTGGGGCCTACATGCTGGCCATGACCCCGTTGGCGCCCAGGTCAGTAAGGTTTCCGCGCAACTTCTGTTCCTCTTCGAAGGCCTTGAACAGGGCGTTGAAGTTGCCAGCCCCAAAGCCCTGAAGCAGGAGGGCAGAAGTAAAGCTGTTGAGGGCTCATGGGAGTGGGGGTGGAGTGGAGGTGGCGGGGCTCCCTGCGTCCCCCTGGGGTCTCCTCATGTCTGGTCCGTACCTGGTGGTTGTGGCGCTGGATGACTTCCAAGAAGAGCGTGGGCCGGTCCTGTACGGGCTTGGTGAAGATCTGCAGCAGGTAGCCCTTCTCGTCGTAGTCCACCAGGATTCTCAGCTCCTGGACCAGAGACAACAAGGCAGGAGGGCTAAGGCGGAGGGGACCTCCTGGGTCCGACTGGGAGCCCAGGAATCACCTTTCTGCAAAGCTCACTGGATGTCCCTGGATTTCTCTGTATATTGCTTCATTATGTGCATGTGGGAATCTTTGATTGGGGGGGGGTCCTTACAAAGTCCAAAAGGAGTGCCTGCATCCCCAGTAGAACAGGGGGCCCCCCCCAGTCATCTCCAGATCCTGGCATGGCCCCAGGCGTGTCAGGGAAGACCTGAGCTCCACGGGCTCTTTCTTCTGAGGCTCCTCTGGGTGGAATGGAATCTCTCCCACCCTTTAGTTAGCAGCTGAGAGATCGAAGCAATTGTTTGGACCACCCAGGGGCTCCTTGTCATACCCCTGAAAGCCAGTAAAAGACTCTTTAGGAACCCCAGGCACTTCAAGATACATCCCCAACACGTCCCCTGCTACCACTTCCATTTCCATTGTCACTTTGACCACCTCAGTACCTCCCAGGACTGCCTGCTTCCTCCCTCTCCACCCTCAAATGCCCCCACTGTTGGAAGTCAGAGGGCTTTTGAATGTCAGTCAGATCACTCCCTCATCTGAAGCCTTCTGGTGGACAATTGGAATTCCCAGTTGTTGCTGGTCTAGAAAACCGTCTGGCAGTTCCTCAGAGTTAGCTGTGTAACCGGCAGGTCTACTCTTGGGTATACCAGTGGACCCAAGAGAAACGAAGAAACGGTGTCCACACAAAGACTTGTACACACATGCTCATAGCAGTGTCACTCATCATAGCCCCCAAAGTGGAAACAACCCCAATAGCCATCCATTGATGCATGGAAGGAACTCGGATATAAGTCTTTATTGGCTTGTTGCCTGTCCCCGTCCCCGACGCCTCGAATGCAAGCCCCGTGTCTGCAGCGACCTGGAGTGGCCACTGCCTGGGGCTCCCAGTCCCACCTCATGAGCGTGCGGGACGCTGGGCTGCATTTGGGAGGCCAGATGGACTCTCTGAGCATGCGCGGGCCTGCCCCCCGGCTCACCTCCAGGACGTCAATGCTTTCCTTCACCCGGATCTTCGCTGATTTCAGATTCTCCCGCAGTTGCTTGTAGTATGTGGGTGGGACAGCCAGGAACTCCATGCCTCTTTCTTTCAAGTGCCGAATCTGTCCCGGGGCAAGGTGGGCGTCAGTGTCTTTCTCCGTTGGGCTGGCTCCAGCAGGTAGCAGGGACCAGCCCCTCCCTGAGTGGCCTCCCCCCACCCCAGGGCGCTCCATGCGACCCTGGTCTCAGGGGTCCTACTAGGTCCTAGGAGCCCAGGAATCGCCTTTTTGGAACGCTTCCTTGATGGCGATGGCGTTCCCTGTGTATTGCCTCATTACGTCCACGTGGGAATCTTCGAGGCATCTAACCCATTATCCCGTTTTACAGCTGGGACAACCGAGGCTTTGGGAGATGGAGGAGCCACTCCCAACCCAACTGCCAGAGTGACCGAATGAAAAGATATGCCAAAGCAGTCCAGTCCTCTGTGACCCTGAAGGGGTGTCCAGTCCCCAAGTAATATTCAAAGTCTTTGCCAAGGCCTTTCCCATCTGTCCCTCTCCTCCGACTTTTATCTCCAGTCCCCTTGAGGGTCCCTTGCTCAGTACCAGCCAGCCACATCGTTCTTGCTGTTTTGGAACCTAGGCGCACTCCCTGCTCCTCCAGGTAGCCTGAGGTGCAGTTTCCCAAGCTTCCACACCTTTCCCTCCTTCCTAGTCTTCTTTACTGCTTTACATATGCAAACACCCTCAATTAAGCCTTCCTTGATGACCACCTTTAAGTTGGGGCCACCCAACCTGAGGGAATGGAACTACCCCAAGGGTTTTCTGAAGCTGTCATCCCAGGCCCCTTCCCCCTCCAAGCCCCTGGGTAGGTTTGAACCTCTGACCTTGCTGTTGGTTAAGGAGACCTTAGCCATTGCTTTATTTTCCACCTCACTGCCATCCGGTTTATCATAGAGTTTACTTATTTTATTATCTTCATAAGGACAGAAAGGCTGGTCTTGTTTGCTGATGTATCCCAAGGGCCTGAAATATTCCTTGGACCATATTAAAATAAAAACAAAACGAACCAAGAACCAAACCCACTGTCACCAAGTGGGTCCTGACTCGGAGATCCCGTAGGGTAGAGCAGAACTGCCTCATGGTTTCCAAGGTTGTACATCTTTCGGGGAGCTGACTGCTTCAGCTTTCTCCCACAGATCAGCTGGTGGGTTCAAACTGTTAGCAGCCCAATACTTAATCCACTGTGTCACCAGGGTTCCCTGGACCACAGTAGGGGCTCAGTATGCAGGTATGGGATGAATGGGTGGATGCATGGATGGTGGTTGCCAGAATTGTGTATTGAATCCATAGTGGGGCTAGAATTTGGAGGAGGCAGGGGCACTTGTGGTAGGGGCCATCCTGCCACATGGGGAATAGATAGGTCCTGGCTTCCCAAGGAGTGAATCCGTAGAACAAAGGACACTGAGTTTGACTCAAAAGATCTACTTTGGCTATAGCCTAATAAACCTCATCTTCAAGGTGAGAATGAACTGCACCCCTGAAGACACACAGCAAGTCACAGGCAGAAGTAGGACTAGAATCCAGGCCTCCTGCATCTGGGGCACCTGCTACCTGGACAGCCCACATGTGGGTCAGAGCTTCTGGTGGGTGGCGGTGCTGCCCCTTCTCGAGCTACACAAGATAGGATTAGGACCAGGAGCAGAGCTCTTACCGTCGTAATGATGTCTTGGGTCTTGAGGGCAATGTGCTGAACCCCGGCTCCCCCATTGTAGTCCACGTATTCCTGGGGGTGGGAAACAAGGGTTACCCCTGTCACCCTGTCCCCCACACACCTGTCCCCTTCCCTGCCCTCACCCACAGCAGACCCACCTGGATCTGGGACTTCTTCTTGCCTGGCGCAGGCTCGTTGATGGGCATCTTGATGGACTCTTCGTAATTGGCCACCACGATGGAGCGCAGAGAGCTGTACTCTGTGTGTACCTGCGTGTCATCCACAGACCAGAAGCGGTGGAACTGGAGGTTCTTCAGGTACCTGTGGGGGTAAGCGGCCAAGGGGGAAGGAACATCTGTTCTGAGCACTAAGCCTAGACCTGCCTCCCCACCCTGATTTCCACCTTCCAGAACTCATCCCCAGACCCCAAACAGGCACTGCCATTCCCATCAGAGCATGGTGGTTCTCCAGTAGGGAGAAGGGAAGTGGCTCAGGAGAGGGATGTTTGTGTCAGGTTTCACAAGGGTGCTGTGTGTGTGTGTGTGTGTGTGTGTGTGTGTGTGTGTGTAGCCCTCTCAGCCCCCCAGATAGTGACAGCCCTAGCCTGACTTCGCACCTTCTTCCAAGGGACACCTGTGTATATGCCTTTGAGCCTGACATCCTCTGGTCTCCACAAGGACAGTCTGAGCATGAACCTAAGCTCAGCTCACCACCTCGCACTCTGTTTCCCACAGTTGCATCCCCAGACCAGAAGTGGGCTGTCCCCGTCCCCTGTGGACTCACCAGTCGGAAGCAGAAGCCATCTCATGGTCAGGCTGGTTTCCCACAATGTGGTCGATGACCTCGAGATGGCAGGTAGGCCTGGGAGAGAGGAGGGGGCGGGAGGTGGGGTGGGAGGAGAGGCTACCCCTGGGCTTCCCACGGTCCAGGGACCCCCCAGTGATCATGCAAGTGCGTGCTTACATGCACTGCCTGTGGGGTGGCCACTCTATGAGGGGGCTTCAAAGAGTTGGTGGGACAATGGAATGAAAAAATAACAGCCTTCTTCCTGAACCTCTGGAGCCCCCTTGTGAGCCTTCGCACAGGCTACAAACAGGCTGACTTGGCAGGGCAGTGAGCTCCGCTTTATTTTGCTTTTGCAGATGCTGTGTTTCCTAGCAACGGGAGGTTTGTGGCAGCCCTGTGGGTAGCAAGTCTGTGGGCGCCGCTTTCCCCAGCAGCCTGAGCCCACCCGTGTCTCTGTGTCACGGGTTGGCCATTCTCAGGACGTCTCCCACCTTCTCACCCCGCTGTCTGCCTCGTAACGATGTCCCAACTCAGAAACTCGTAAGGAACAGAGCCTGGTGGGGGCCCCACGTGCACTCCCCGGTGGAGTGGCTATGAGGCGGAATCAACTGGGTTGACAGGTCGGGAGGCACTGACGCAAACATTCGTTAGACTCCAGTCTGGGGCCAGCGTCGCTGTGCTGGGCGTTGGGAAAGCAAGCGTCCTCTGCTGGCTTTATAGCAGCCCTCCCTTTGTCTCGGGGGTCTGGAGCCCCTCCCATGGTGTCCTGACATCTCCCGACTGCGTTATCCCCATTTTACAGGGGAAGAAACTGAGGCCTGGAGCCAGCAAGTTAGGTGCCTGAGACTAGATGGCTGCCCAGAGACAGGCCTGGGATTTAAACCCAGGCAGTCTGGTTCAAGAGTCTCTGTGGGTCACCGCCGTGGACCTTTGCAGGCTCCCCCGCAGGCTCTGCCCCATCAACACCTCGGGGCCAAGGGACCTTGCTTTCTATCTGCCCTCCCTCCCCCACACACCAGGACCCCTGCTGCTGCCCTAAGAGCACTCACAGCTTGGCAAGTAGGGGGTCCATGAGGATGGGGGCTTCGAATCCAGGCAGGAAGCGGCCAGTGTAGTTTATCTTCTCCACCAGGGTGTGTGTGGTGTCTCCATACTGGGGGTGGGAGACAGAGCCCACCTCAGTCCCTAGCACCCACCCCACCGGGTCTAGGCCCCCCCACCTTCCAGGAGCCCACACAGCCTTGTCTCTGTGTCAGTCACTCCCCTCTCCGAAAGGATTTTTAATGCCTCACAGTGCCTAGCACATAGTAGGTGCTCAATAAAAACGTGTGGCCTGCATGGCAAATGGGTGAGAGCACCCAGGATCAGCTTACGCTGCAGCATTGAAGCAGACTTTCACTTTGATTTAATCTTCGAGAGGCAGGCCCTACCATGGTCTCTTTTGTGTGAGAACCCAGGGGCTGAAAAGAGTTCGCCCGTCGTCTAGGAGCCCTGGTGGCGTGGTGGGTGACTCATTGGGCTGCTAGCTGTAAGGTCAACAGTTCGAAGCCACCAGTCATTCTGCAGGAGAAAGATGAGGCTGTCTGCGCCTATAAAGGTTCCCAGCCTCAGGAGCCCTATGTCAGGTCAGAACTAACTTGACAACAAGTGGGTTTGGATCTAGGCTATGCGGAACTCAGTGGGTTAAGTATTAGGCTGAGGATCACAAGGCTGTGGGTTCAAGCCCACCAGCTGAGGCTGCCTGTGCCTCCGTCTGGGAAACCCTGTGGAGCAGATCTCCTCTGTCCTGCGAGGTCGTGATGAGTCAGAATTGACTCGATGTGGCAGTGGGTGTGTTTTGCTTCTCGTCTTGGACCTGTGAGGCACTGTCCCGGGTTTATGGGTGCCGAAACCGAGGCTCAGAAAGGCCACTGCGGGGTTCAGCTTGCAGCCGTGCTCATTGAAAGAGAGTCCCAGAGAAGTGACATGACTGGCCCATTGTCACTCAGCTGGTATGGGATATGGCGTCACCGGCCCCCATTGGTTTAGGTCTCCTTTCTTCGAAGCCCCTGCCCAAAGCTGACCTAACCCCCGACCCCCAGGAGGAAAGAGCAATGGGGTGGGGGAAGGAATCTGTGGCTCCCACATCCCCCAGCCAGGCATTGTACCGGAGACCCTAGTGTGCTTGGGGCACCAGGCAGAGATGAGGGAGTGGAGTTAAGTGACGGGAGGATGGAGACAGCTCTGGAGGTGGGAGCCCCAAGCCCACTCACCGTCTGCAGAATGGCAAACTTCACCTTCCCGAACTTGTCCTGCTCCACCCAGGGCTCCCGCACGATCGTGGCGCCCCTCTCCCGGGCTTTCTGGTGGTGGTAGGGGATGGGGTGGAGGCAGCAGTGAGGGCTGGGACCCAAGCCCTGGCCTGCCACTCCTGCCTGGTGCTCTCTTGTTCCCCCAGCGCAGACGTGCCCTGCTAGCTCCCGCCATTACGCTCGATACCCACGCCGCATGCCCATCAGGCAGGTAGGGAGACTCAGACCCCGACTCAGGGTAGCCATGGGGTGTGTCAGAGGTCTGGGTGTCTGTGGCCTGTCCCTACAAACTCATTCGGTGGCCCTTCCTTGCTGCGGGCCTCAGGTTCCCAGTCCATCAACAGGGTGGCTGGATATGAAGAGTGGACAGGAGTTGGCCTGGAGTGAGCATCCCCGGGTGAAGCGCAGCTTGCGTTGACACAGGGAAGGTCTGGGCCGTCATTTTCCCAGCAGCCTGTCTCTGTGTCCCGTTTGGGGGACTCCCAGTCTCCCCACCTTTTTCATTACCGGGTTCCGTTGCGTGCTTCACAGACCACAGTCCAGGGTCAACGTAACCAATCTAGGCACTCAGGAAACCCGCCCGTCTGGGGGACTGCTTTCCGGGCGGCAGACACCTGACTGAGGCGGCCTGGACCTGAACCTGCAGGGTCTCCGAGGTCTGCTTGTGCCTGTGCGTGCCTGGTGCTTTGCCGAACCGACTGCTGTTCCTCTCTGGTGTTCCTCTCGCTCACCCTCCCAGCCAGGTTCTATCCTCCTGTACATTTGATCTGATCAATGGTGAGCTGAGCCTGAGCAGAGTTAAGTTGCTTGCCCAATGCCACCCACGGCTAGTAAGTTCCAGGCCGGGGCACCCTGGCTCTGGATCCCGCCCTCTGAACCTCCCCTCTGCCCCTTGAACCCAGAAGTCATCTTGTAATAAGATCTCCAAGAGGAGGGTGCTGTGGCCACCCCCTTTCGCAGGCCAGACCCCGAGGCTTGGTGTCAGGGGCGGGCACCACGTGGGCTCTCCCCATGGATGCCAGGGTCTCGCAAACTACCCTCTAGTTGGGGTCCCCGTGGCCCGCGGAGGGAAGGCCTAGCCCTGCTGTTTGTCCCCCGGGGGGTGCCAGGGCCGCACCTGCACGATGTAGTCGCAGTCTTCCACCTCGAATGCGATGTCCTTCACGCTGTCCCCGTGTTTCGCCAAGTGGTCGCCCATCTCTGGCCGGTAAAGGTGGGGGGCACTGGAGTCCATGCCCCCATGCCTGTGCTCTCAGCCTGGGGGTTCCAGCTACTCCCAGGCCCATCCCTTGGATCCCTGACCCCACCGATCACACCATGCCCCCACCCCTGGAGCCCCCTCACCTTTGTTCCAGGGGTTGAGGGCAGAGACGAGGGCAAACACAATCTGAGCCGTGGAGGAGAAAGTGGTCACCTGGCTGCATCTGGGGAGCCGCACCCACATCTCCTTCTCTCTGCCCACCCCTGCGGTACTCCCACAACACCCACTGCTGTTGAATCAGTTCCAACTCATAGTGGCCTGATCGGACAAGACAGGACAGGACAGGACTGCTCTGTAGTGTTCCCAAGGCTGTGGTCTTTACAGAAGCAGACAGCCTCGACTTTGTTCCCTGGGACAGCTGGTGGGTTTGAACTGCTGACCTTGCAGTTAGCAGCCCAATGCTGAGCCACTGTGCCATCAGGCTCCTGAGACACCCTGTTGGGGGCAAAGGGCCAGACGGCCCCTTCTCAGCCATGCAGGTCCCCTGGAACGTGGGGTTGAGCCCTTCCTTTGGCGCAGATGGGGACTATCCCCCTGGGCAAACACGACCTGTGTCCCTAGGCGAACTGCTGTGTCAAGCCTGTCCTCGGGGAAAACACCAGGGTCCCATGGACAAGGGCCTGCCCGACAGCCTGTGCTGGTATCCTCGGCCTCTTGCAAGTCGCCCTGAGCATGTGCGGCCAGTGTTGGGCCAGGCCCAGGAGGAGGACGAGGACGGACCTGGCCAGGCCCCCTGTAGAGCCCGGGGGACCCATCTCCTAGACAGCGGTGAGGTGTCCTGGTGGGGGGGGGGGGCGGCAGTAGGGGGGCTCACCTTCCCATGCTTGATCACATGACTGACTACCTCCCGGGAGCCAGTCTCCAGCCCCTTGTAGGCGAGCGGTTCAAAGCCCATCTTGTTGCAGTAGAAGGATGCAGCCTGAATTAGAGTCAAGGCCGATTCGTGAGGGACAGGGGCAGGGGGCAGCCTGGAGGTCCCTGGCTGGCAGCCCCAGGATCCCTGCTCAGTCCGTCTGTCTGTGGCCCCAGACACAGAAACCCTGCCATGGGAAAATGGGTCCCCTCTGCCTTCCTGCTGGACCCAGGATTCTGATTGCATAATTAGGACCCAAAGCCTCTCTGGGTCTCTCTCTCTCTGGGGACACTCCCAGGGCTGGCCCTGACCCTCCCCTCCCAGGGGATCAATCATGGCCCTGGCCAGAGGCTTGATTGGTCCAACAGGCCCTCTACCGACCCTCTGCCCACCAACCACCCCTACCCCCCACACCAGCCCACCTACCTGTTTAGCATTGCCAACCCAGAAGGTCACAGAATGAAAGTTCAGGAATCGGCCTCTCTCAGGCTGTGGAGGGAGAGGAGGGTGGGCTTGAATGCTCCCACGTGGTCCCCAAAAGTGAAAGTGTGTGGGAGGCCTCCAGGCACTTCACTTAGCTCAGCCCAATCCCCAGAATTCAGTAGAAGCCAGACCGGCTGAGGCCCCAAAGCAGCTTCTCCCTCCAGTGGCAATAAGCCCTGGGGGGTTTGGAATCAAGAAACTCCCCCAGGAGGCCTGGCTTGGGTCCAGAGTAGGAAACGGCTTTCAGCTACACCCACAGAGATTTCAGTTAGACCGGAGAAAGGACTCCCAGGTAGTGTAAGAGACGGGCAGGTGTGGAAGAGGCGGTCCCGTGACTTAGGAGGGAACAGCGGGGATAAGCTTGAGGAGTGAGGGTGCATGGACTTTCCAGGCTCAAGGTCACTGTTCTTCTCCGCTGGTGGCTGCCACTCCGGCCTCCCTGGCCCTGTCTGTCCCCAGCCCTGACGTGCATGGCCCCTTCTGCTCACCTTCACGCCCTTGTCACTGTAGGTTGTCTAGGGAGAAAGGGAAACAGGGTGAGACTGTGACTAGAGGCCTGCCACCCAGGCACCGCTGGGAGCTCTCAGAGGGTGCAGCACCCGTGGTCCCGGGGGTACTTACCATAGTTGACCTGGAAGGAGTTTCCTGTTGGGAAGATTAGGGCATAAGAGGCCTAGGATGTGCTGGACACAAGTATTTAAGAGGAGCAAGTCCCACCCCTGACCTCGGGGCCTTCCTGGTGGAGGGGAGCTAGACCCACCCCTGAAAGTACCTAGCCCAGAGGCTGGGACCTCATGTTGCCAGGGGACACTGCCAGGCTCCAGAGGGGGGAGTGACTTGCATAGGCCACTAGCAAGTAGGGGGCAGTGCCATGGCTGGACGCCAAGGGCAGGTGCTCTCTGGGACCCCAGGAGGGGACTCTGAGCTCTGCCCTGGAACCTTGCTCTGAAGAAGCCAAGGGCAGTTTGAGTACAGGGTGGCTGAAATGAATTCTCACTTAGGAGGGGCTTGATGCAGGGGCTGAGGGGTGGGGGGGCTTGGAGCCCTGGGGGTGCTGTAAAGCACGCAGCTTGTCTTTTGGGTGGAAGGGGTACAGGCTGCTGTGGCAAAAGGCACAGGTGGGGCGGAGGGCTGGAATCCTAAACGATCAGCTACATACTATGTGGCTGAGAGAAGTCCTAGTGCCCCCCTGAGCCTCAGTCCCCCCTTCTGTGAAATGGGAACAAGCCAACCAGAGGATGGCTTGCATCCTGGGCAGCTGTTGCTCAGGGACCTTCTCACTGTCACCATCTGAGAACTGGGAGCGGGGCCCTGGTCTTGGCTCTGTCCCCCGAATGCTGGGAAAGTGGGCGGCTGATGGCAGGGGCCGATGACATCTAGCACCCCACCTCCGAAACACACAGCTAAGTCTGAAAGCCTGACCATGATGGCCACCGTCCATGACCTTCACCTGAGGGCCTCTGGGCCCTGGCCTTCCTCTGGCTCACCCCCAGCCCCACATCTTCCTCTGTGGAGCTGCCTCACCCCCTGCCCAGGGAACTAACCTCATCAGCTCCCCTCCTCCACGCGGCAGCCCTTCTCCCCAGCCTTGTGACCTTGGCCCCTGGCTGTCCCCACCTGCATTGCCCTCTGGTATCTGCCTCTCAAAATGTCCCACCCCCACGCTCCGCCTCTCCTTTTTATTGATTTTTTTTTCACACAGAAAAACAGATTGTCGGGGCTAGACGCAACCCCAAGAGCCATGCATCGGCCACCCCACTTTCCAGATGAGACAAAGTGACCAAGAGCAAGAAGGTACCAAAGGTGATTTCCCAACCTAGTTTCTTCCTCTTCCAAGAAGCCCTCCCAGAACTCCCCAGGCTCCAGCCAGCTTTTACACAGGCGGTTGGGATAGGAGTGCCCAGGACAGTTAAAGAACTTTCCCAGGCCACTCGGTCAGCCAGTGACAGAGCGGAACTAGAGTAGATCTGACTTCGGGGCCTTGACCTTGAACATTGGTCCTGCTTCCTGCTGAGTGTGCTAACCCTTGACAGAGTGATGGCCTCAGCAGACAGATGGGGAAACTGAGGCCCCAAGAACAGAGCTCTGGCTTGGACCGCCCCGCCTCCACACCCCAGTCCTCTTTCCTCTGTTCTTTGGGACAACCTGGAGGCAGGTCCACTTGTCCCCATGGCCACCTCAGTTGTCTGGGTCCAAGTTTCCCACTGAGGAAGGAGAGTGGAGATAGCCCAGAGTGGAACTCATGGGCTTTGATGGTTTCACGGGAGGTGAGGGTCCCCCATACCCCAGTCCACCAGGAACATGGTGTACCCTTACTGCAGTGACTCCCTCACCCCTCCTCCCAGAGTAGTTTGTCTCTTGGTCAACCTTAATTCCATGGAGGGGATGAAGCTCTCAGGGCCTTCACGGGCTGATGTGGCAGGACTCAAAATGAGACGACGGAACAGCTGCAACAGAACGTGGAATCAAGGAACACGGAGAGCTGCGTTCAAAATGCTTCAGCATCTGCCCTACGGCTGCCCTACGGTACAGCCTCTAACAAAGCGAGGCTGTCCTGAGCCCCTGCTAACAGAATCACTTACCTTTGTACAAAGGGAGGTAAAGCACCAAATCTGCCTGTGGCGGGCTGTGTGCCCAGGCTGACTTCAGGGGGTTCCTGCTGTGGGAGCTAAAGTTCTCGTGAGGTGGTCCAAAACAAAAAAAACACATCATCAGGGCCTATGGTGGTTCCAGATGTGCTACATGTGTCCAAGACAGGATCAAGGGTGCTATGGCAGCTACATCATCTGTCAACGGGAGCGGAGGGGTGGACTCTAGCCTGTCAATCAGGTCGCAGCTTGATGACCTCATTTGGAGGCAGGACCAAGCTAAATAGCTCACTGGAGGCCAGAGCCTCTCTCTCTGCCTTCCCTTTCCTGCAGTTGAGACAGTCAGAGGGTTGGAGGGCCACGTGGAGACCCATACCAGGGCTGAGATGCTTCCACCGCCACTGGACCCACAAGATATTCCACCCACTGGCCTGTGTTCTTCCTACATTCAGCATCATTGTGTGGCTGAGTGAGTCTAAAGAGGATTTATGGATTAGTATCAGACATATAGGCTAATATCAGACTTATGGATTGGATTTGGACTGGGCTGCGATGTTTTCTCAATATTCAGTTGCTCTTGTATAGAAAGCTCTTTCTTCTACACATGAGTGTCTATGAATTTGCTTACGTAGTCAACCCGGACTCACACACGTGCTTTCCTTAGGAAGGAGCAGAAAATCGTTGCGAAAGTGTTAAAGGCCCAAGCACAGTCAGAAAGCTAAATAAGCAAGATCTAGCTGAAGTGCAAGGCCATCGGTGATAGAACAACACCCGTACCCCTGCGAGGAAGACCAGTCCGTGCCACTATGACTCAAATGTATGTACCCGTCCCTAAGGCAATGAGGAAGAAGTTGAATCATTCCACCAACTTCTTCAATCTGCAACGGATCAAGCCTGCAGTGAACACGCACCGGTTAGTACCGGAGACTGGAGCCTGAACGTGGGACAAAGACAGGCTCAGGGGCTGGTAAGGATGGTCTGGGTTGGGGCCACGATGCTGGAAATCACATGATAGAGTTTTGGAAGACCAACCCCCTCTTCGTAGACCAGACCACAGAGAAGGCAACTGCACGTAAGGACGGAAATCACAGGAACAGTACGTGCAGAAGTGTGAGTCGGTGTGTTCTTGCTCTGTGTATGCTCAACTTTTTTTTTTATTAAAAAAATGTAAATCCTCTGATGCACCTATGTACTCTGTACATGGGTTGCTATAAGTCAAGCTGATGGCAACGGCATGTGTGCTTCTCAGGGCTCTGGGGTGGTAAACAGTTCATGCCCTCGGCGGCTCCCTAAAAGGTTGGCAGTTGGAGCCCACCCAGAGGTGTCTCAGAAGAAAGGTTTGGTGATCTACCCCCCCCCCAAAAAAAGCATCAAATGACAAACTAGGAATGAAGATGCAGCACCAGTCTCTCATCTGACCGAGCCCAGCCTGAGCAGGGAGTGTCTGCAAGGGGACAAAGGAGCCTAGAGTTGGCCCTGCAGGCTCCCCATCCCCAACTTCTACCCACAGCTGCGAGTGACGCCTAGAGGGGATCCAGACATCATCACTGAGCCCACACAGATGTCTGGAAGCAACGTCCAGCCAGGAGGAGGGGCAGAGTCCCCATCTTTGCTCAGCTATGCCGGGCCCCTGCCAGCCCAGCCTCGAGCTCCTGCAGCCTCTGTGCCTGGGGCGCACACCCAGGGTCCATTCTGGGAGGAGGGGCAAGGGAGTCACTGCAGTGAGAGGACACCATGTCCCTGGTGGACTGGGGTGTGGGGGACCTTCACCTCCTGTGAAACCATCAAAGCCCATGAGTTCCACTCTGGGCTATCTCCACTCTCCTTCCTCAGTGGGAAACTTGGACCCAGACAACTGAGGTGGCCATGGGGACAAGTGGACCTGCCTCCAGATTGTCCCAAAGAACAGAGGAAAGAGGACGGGGTGGGGGGTGGGGCCGGGGGTGAGGAGTGCTCCTTAGAAGCGAAGACGGTGACACCCGCTTTGGACACAGATCCATGTTGTCCGGAGGAAAACAGTGGACAACCTTTAGTATACCCCACCTGAATTTAAAGACCATCTCAGGAATAGAGCTGACACACTGAACGCTCATGACTAAGACCAGGCACGTTTCGGGAGAACATCATCCATAAAGAAAGCAAAAGGGGATTAAAAAGACACAAGATTAAAGCAAAACAAAAGACTAAAACGGCAGTCAAAAGAAACTGTGAACCTACCTCTTGAATGTAGAGTAGCTAAAACAAATAGAAGAAACATTGAAGCAAAACCTGAACAGAAGATGTCAAAGGGTGGCTTGAAAGGCAAAGAATTATAATGAAGGAGCTGCAGTTAGAAAGCCAGAGGGGAAAGAACTGAAGAACAATTCCAGCCGAGTCGCAAACTTGAAGAATTCTATGGGCAAAAAATTGAACGATGCAGGAAGCACCAAAAGAAAGTAGAAGGAAAACACAGTCACTACAAACACGAACAAAAAACATGGCCTGTATTTAGCATTCTCAGGAGGTAGCATTTCATCCACTGTGATCAAGTTTGAAGGAGGAAGTCCAAGCAGCTTGCAGGCACCGGTAAAAACCAGGCCTCCAGGAGTTGACAGAATAACAATTTAAATGTTTTAACAAACTAACTATGAAAGTGTTCATTCGTCGGTGCCCCAAAATGTGGAAGTCAGAGAATCTGTGGATGTGTCTATTCCAAAGAGAGGTATGCTGACAAAATCTGGAAATTATCAAACAAGATCACTAACATCACATGCAGGTAAAAGTATACCGCAGATCATTTTAAAAATGGTGGCAGCTGTACATCCACAGGGAATGGCCAGACATCCCAGCCAGATTCAGAATACGATGTGGAATGAGGGATATTATTGCTGATGTCAGATGGGCTGAGAACAGAGACCATCAGAAAGATGTTCTCTGTGTTCTATTGGTTATGCAAAGTCCGAACAAATTATGGGTCACATCTAGAAGAGTGAGAACTCTAAGACACCCAATTGTGCTCATGTGGAATTTTTACCGAAGTAAAAATCGGTCTGCCAAAGTCTTTATCAGAACAATGAAAGACCCCAAGAGGTCGTCATGGGACCCGAACCAGGACATACTCCCTGGC